GAGGAGCCGGCGCTGGGCCTACGCGCCCGCTTGGAGGACGAGGAAGGGCACGGGCGGGGGAGGCGCTGGCAGCCTCTTCCGGTGCCTGTGCGGTGTGCGCCGAGTGGCAGCAAGGATCCGGTGTTACCGGGAAAGGACACGGGAAGGTTCTAGTTCAGAGTAATTGCAGAGACCCCCGATAGAGTCTGTTTTGGGAATAAGAGATTGCTTTTTCTAGCTCTCCTCAGCCTGCACCCTCGGTGGCCCAGGCTGTGGGCCCGTACTTCTTTCTTCCGTGGAGGTGAATGGATTTGAAAGACCACGTTTCCCATCCCCTTTATTTTCTTCTTCCCACACCCTCCCCTCCCCGTTTATTCACAACTGGACATCTGAACATCCAGACACATTAGAGGTGCCTGCAGCTGTTATGTTGTGGGTTTTTTTTCCTCTGTAGCTGTGGGGCATACACCAGATAGCTCTGCTGTCTAAGATACCATGATGCATTTTAGATTTAAGTGCAAGTGCTTATGCTTCCTGATCGCTGCAGTGACTTTCAAAGGTCAGACCTTGATGATAGTCCTAATAGTGGAGGTAGCTGCTAAAATTCTAATTCTTTCAAGTTATTAATAACTTAAAAGCATAAAACTTTTTTTTTTTTTTAATAAAGGCAGAAAGTGCTTTCAGCAAGATAACTTTTCTGAAGTACTATGATTATTGAAGTATGTTAGTACTCTTGTATGAGCATTCATGTAGTATATGAAAGAGAGACAGAACTGGGTGTTGAATTTTATTAAGTTTTCAAGAAAGAAAGTACTTCTGGCTTTTAATGTAATAAACTTGTTGCTAGCTAACTGAAGCCCTAAGTCACTCTTTAGTATGCTAAATATATTCAGTAGGTGCACTTACTTCTTAAAAGCATTATGCCTAAATCTTCATTCTGTTTGTAGGTGGATGCAGTCAAAGATGACCAGAGTTGTAGTCTTTTCTGCTGTGTTCATTATTTCACATACCAGTTGATTCTCTGGCCTTTGTGTTGGGAGGGTAACATGTTACAGAAGATATCTGAGCTTATGCAAGGTCATACAAAGTCAGTACAAACCACAAGTTTGAGTTCAGCTCAGGGCATCAACCATAACACAGCTCAGGGACAAAGTGTTTTATGATCAGTTCTTGGAATTTGTCCTTGTTAACGTGTCAGATGAGAAGAAAAGAAATTAAATAGTTATGATGTAGCTGTCTTAACAGAGTAGATGTGTTTTTGTGTTGTGTATTTGTATTTGTCTGGCTTTGGGGTGTTTAAGTCAGCATCTAGGTATGAATAACTTTCATAAAAGAAGAACTTTCTTGCCTTCTATACTACATGTTTAGCTTGTTCTCTTTTCAGGTAACAGTTTTTGGAAAATTTGACTCTACTTCCTAAATAGAAAGTCAGGGACCTACTATGGCTTTTTTTCCTAAAGCTTCTGTACTACTATGACCTGAGGTACCTGGAAAAGAGCTCAAGCCTAATTGGTACTGGCTTGCTTTTCTTAATTACTCTTTTTGAACATGTAGTTTCCAGGTTAGTCTGAGTAGCATTATAATAAAGCAGATACGTAAGGCTCTACTTCTGTGTGGCTTCTATGAACATGTGTCTCTGCCAGTTGAGGAGTATGACTTCTAACAGTAAGTTGTTGTGAAAAAGGGAGTGAACAAACACTTCAGGTATCTGGGCAGCATGGTAACTACTTCAGTACTGTTGTGCTGCAGGCCAAAGATGCAGCTAGACAGAGCTCCCCCATAGTACAGACCCAGAGTCTGTTCTCTGATTACACCTGGTAGAAAGCCTTGTTTGTGCTTAACCAGTCATTCTGGCAAGTTGTAAACAGAATATTACTACTGCCTGCAAATCTTCTAGCATATCCAAACTATTCTAGAGGTATGTGTAAGTCCCAGACAAGTATATACGGTCTTGAGCAGTATCTCATTTTAAAAAATTCTCGTAGGTTGTGCATTACTCTGACTGCTAAGTGATTTCTTGCTTTAAGTTTAGGCTTAGTACAGTGTCTGTGATTTAGTATTTGTTATTTTAGAATAAAGAATAAATGACATTTTTATTGTCTTGATGATTAATTTTGCAGAGCAAGGTGAGAAATGTGAATGTACAATGTAATGTAAAATCTGTAAAGTTTTGGGCAAGAAATTCCCTCGTAATAGTGAAGTTATGAGCTGGATAAGCCTGCTAGTGGTAACTGGTGCTCTGTTGATGCTGTTGAACATAATTGTAAATTTTTGTTGATGTTCATAAAGGAATTTATTGCAGAAGCAAGAGGACAAGGCAAAGAAGATCTGAATAAGATAGCTTTTTGCTGTCTTTTGATTTTTCATTAGTGTTTCTCTGGAGATAGTTCTTATTAAGTGGATATAACACTTTAATGTCTATTCCATTGTATTGGAGTAACACCACTACATCTAATAGCAAAAGAACCTAGATTATCCCTTTCTACTCTGGGGAATATTTTCTGCATTGTGCATTGTTTCCTATATACTTATTCAGTATATTAGTTTTACTTTTGCCTATATATTTTGAATGCTAAGCATAGTAGAAGAACTGTGCTGCTACCTTTATGATTACTTCATGTTGTTAACTGTAAACATGTGTTCTGTTTGCACCGTATCGTACCCTCTGTAGCTTCTTCAAAAATGGAAGAGGGAAATACTCACTGCATTCATTCCATTCAAAAATGGAAGAGGGATTCTTGTTTTTCAGCTCTAGTAACTTTGCTCTATTGGAACTTATGAAAATTAATAACTTGTTTTTTTAAGACTTGATGGCTTTCTACACAGTACTGTATGGAACAGTGTAAATGAAATGTCCTTTGATTAAATGTGGTCTGAAAAATTCTTTAATGAACCTTGTTCATGAGCATTGAGTGTGATGGTTAATAAAATTCTGCAATTTCATTAAACAGAAGCTGTATAAATCTGAGGTTCTGTATTTGAAAAAGAATTTAAAAAATATGTATAAAGAATCTGAAAGATAAGTGAAAATGTCTGTGTAAAGAAAAATCCAATGTTTATCTCATAGAGCTGTGTGGTCTAAATAGAGAACTTGCACTATCACAGAATATTTAGCCAAAGAAGCTTTGTCTCCAGAATACGAGAGAAATACTTTTTGCTTAATTCCGTGATATAAGAAAATGTTGGATATTGCAGCTATGAGTCATAATTGCTACTAGCAGCTTCTGGGATTAATTTCTATGGTTTAACTGTGCAGTGAGCTAAAATGTGACTGTTTCTTCCATTGCTTTTTTTAAAGGAACAAACTCAAGTTGGAAGGCCTAGAATCAAATTTGTCAGTCTAAAAGGCGTTAATTTAAAGCAAGGAAATAATTTTTGAGTATAGCACTACAGTTGAATAATATAGCATGGGAAATGTTTTTGAGAAGGTAGCACTCAGTCAATTTTGTTTCTTTTATGATCTTTGTTACCATTTATGATTGATCATATGTATGTAATTTTTTTCCAATTAACTAGAATACAGCTGTGCATATGGCTCAGGCAGATTCTTTATGCTTTGTGGCCTTGGTGGGATTATTAGCTGTGGAACAACACATACAGCACTGGTTCCTCTAGACCTGGTTAAATGCAGAATGCAGGTTTGTTCTGCATGTTCGTATGCAATGACATTGACAAAGCATGTTTAGCGTGGTATAATTAATCTACTAATGAATTGTAGGCATAAACTATCCCCTGGACATCATTGTCCAACAGTGCATGGAGTTTATGTAAAAGCATGGTGTGTCTTTATTTTTTGCTGCAGAATACAGTTGCGAATATGGCTCGCTCAAGTTTTATGCTCTTTGTGGCGTTGGTGGGGTCCTAAGTTGTGGCCTGACACACACTGCTGTTGTACCTCTGGATTTAGTGAAATGTCGTATGCAGGTTTGTATTAACTGAAACATTTTTTTAAACTTTCTCCTTTATGTAACCAGCATATTAAGAGTATTACGGTAGGGATACAGTCTTTTCTGGATGACAGGAAGTGAGTAACATTGAATGCTACTTTATCAAGTCTGCTGCTGTGAGACTGACAAAATACCACTTTAAAGAGAAGCAGAGACATTTAGGATAATCTGGATGAGTTATTTTTGGCTATGTTTAAGGCACATTTAACTGACTGAATTTTCTAAAAGGCACCCCCCACGATGTTACTCTTTGCTATCTGGTACACTATCTAGCACTATTCATGTACTTTTAGGAAATAGTATTTTTGGTGTTTTGAAGATCTACGGTTTTTAACCTGGAGTGACATGCATGTAATTTGATCCATTAACGTTGTGGATATCCCTGCATGGCTTATGGATTGGATACATTCTAATTATGCCAATTTGAATAGAATGGGTAAAACTTGATATGGTATTGGTAAGGCCATCAGTGCTTGTGGCTAGTTTCCTTGGAGAGGTTCTTGACTGAACTGAAAGGAGTGTCACGTTGCGCTTAATTTGGCATACCAGCTTCCCCATTAAAATCATTTAGCAAACAGCCATGGATAAAAACATATTAATGTATTTATTCAGGCAAATCTTTGCCTCAAGAATGAAGCAAATTAAAGCATGCTTCTAAGTTTTGGGAAATAGAGTAGTTAGTGACTTCCCTGTTACATAAGCTGACACTGATTATAGAAGTGGTGGTTTTGTAATACAATTCCTGAAATTAGGAGGGAACTATGAATTAGTCTACCTACTAGTCACACTAGGAGTACTGCAGGTGTTCATCTGGAAAGCCTTCCAGAATACACTCTTTACAAGAGAGACTTTTTCACATACTTGAGAGCACCTGAAATTCTGCTCTAAAACTAGTAATTCTGTAACACATCGAACAACCTCAGGGTGCATCGCACAAGGGCAACATGCTGCTTTCTACAAAATTTCCATTGAAACCAGGCTAACTGTGTAGGAATTCCCTATTTCTAGTAGTAGGGAATAGCGGTAGTAGAGTATGTGTTCTATTTCTGAAAATGTAGCTTAAGTGAACTCTTGTTCTGCTATGCACTATAAATGCCAAGATCAGTAGCTTGACTACCCATGCCTAAAGATGAGTTTCCTGGGAGAAGGTGACTGATCATGGGTTAAGAGAGTGTAGCATCTCAAACAGTTCTTAATCTGACTGCAAATTGGGTTAATGGGCAGAAGGCCCAAGAGCTATACAATGCTGTATATACAACTGGGAGCAAGGCCTCATACTTACCAGGCTTCAGCGCCTTGGGTAGGTATGCTCAGCTTGGGCTACCAGTCCTGGGCTTCTTAATGTGGTAAGGGTGGTGATACTTCCCCTTCCTTCTCCAGCAGTTAGAGGAAGGTGCAAGATGAAGGTTCCATGTAGATTCCAGGTGTGACCTTGTAAAACCTGACAGCATTTATCTCTTTACAGATCCAGTACAGGGCGTGTTAGTAATCCTTCCTAGATTCTCCAGGAAGAAACCCATTGCCTGCCCTTTCATGTCTTTTTAAGAAGAGGTCAACTTTTACTTAGATAAGACTATGCTTATGTTAGAAGCATGCTTAATTATCATTTTACAGTACCCAATTTTTTAAAATTCAGAATCTTTTAAAATTGACATGTTCAGGTGAACTAGTTCTTGAGTACATTGTTGCTAGACTGCAGGACAAAATACCAGCCACTGCAGGTTGGCATGCATGTCCCATAGCTCTTCTTGAAAGCTTAGGTTGACTTCTTATTTGTTATCTTCCTTCTTATCCCTCTGAGGAAATATTGGATGATGTCAAATATGAAAAGTGACAGTGTAATAATGTGACTTAAAATTTGTCAGTATGAACTGTTTAAGAAATTTTAAGTGGTTTCACATGAAACAAAATTATTCAAGTTGGTCTTTTTTAACTTCTGATAGGTTATTAATGAAATCTCACTCAGAGTTTTGTGTGCAGAAAATACTTTGTATGTAGCCCTTACTGTGAAGTCAAAGTACAAGTAAGTTCTTGAGTACACTTGGATCTGCTTTGCTCCATCTGTCTTAATTTTGACTCTGTGGAGGGATCAAACAGTGCACAAGTAACCTTTTCTGATTGAGAATCAGGTGAATCATCAGGCGTGGTATGTGGCAGCACTTGAGTGTACATAGGTGTGATGTGTGGAGTTGATTAAATTGCTGACAGAAGCTGTCAAATTCTTAAAGAATCTGATCTAAACATAATTATACCAGTATACTACTGACAGTGTTAGAATAGTGATTTCAGTAAATCTTTTCGACACGGAAAGTTGTATTGTTGATTTGGAGAATAAATGTAAAGCAAAAGTCAGATAGTTCGGTGGTTCCTGAGTATTGGAGAACATCATACAGGCTGCTAAAATAAATTAGCGTTTGAGACTAGCAAGTTACCATTACTGTTACATTAGTGTAACCTTGTGGTGAGTACATTGTCCAGGGAACCTTAGGAAGCCAGCTTTATGAGTAATTTACAAATTTTGTATTTTGGATGAGGGTATGAGAAGGGAAATAGTAAGCTATACGAAGCAATTAACTGCGTATTCTCTTTAGGTTGATCCACAAAAATACAAGAGCATCTTCAATGGATTTTCAGTGACAGTCAAAGAAGATGGTGTTCGTGGCTTGGCTAAGGGATGGGCTCCAACCTTTATTGGATATTCCATGCAGGGTCTTTGTAAATTTGGTTTCTATGAAGTTTTTAAAATCCTATATGGCAACATGCTGGGAGAGGTAAGCCTTAAGTGTTTTAGAAGAGGCTATATATTTGCACCGTAATAGTATTAGTAATGCAGAGTAATCAAAAAAGCATGGTTCATTAATAAAAATGAATGTTTAAATTCCCTTCAGGAAAATGCGTATTTGTGGCGTACTTCGCTATATTTAGCTGCATCTGCCAGTGCGGAGTTTTTTGCTGACATTGCTCTGGCTCCAATGGAAGCTGCTAAAGTTCGTATTCAAACACAGCCTGGATATGCTAACACTCTGCGGCAGGCTGTACCTAAAATGTTTGGAGAAGAAGGCATCTGGGCGTAAGTATCTCTTGATTTTAATTTTTATTTTTATTCAGGTTCTTGATGTTGGGTATTTTAACTCGTGAAAGACTGTTGCTAAAACTAATTGTGGCTTTAGCTTATAATACTTTTTGGTCTTTGTATTTCAATATAACTTAACATACTTCAGGGAATCTGTGCTGCACTCGCTGTTAATTCCACATGCTCCTTAGATCCATCTTTGTGAGTATCTGTGTGCTGAGTTCTGCTGGGTAACTTCAGTTTCTAGCAGTTCCAGTCAGAGATACTCGGCAACTTTTTGGTTGTACAGTCAAAGATGCTTGAGTCATTGGCATGTAAGAGTAATACAACTGCATGTTAGCTTTCTGTTCTGATAGAAGTGGCTGTAAATATACAAGTCATTTATCACTATCAGGACTTGGCTGGTATGCAGACATGAGCCTTACTGCACATAACAGAATCACAGAATGTTAGAGATTG